TGGTGCAGGCGAGCGTACAGACTTCCCCCCGGGAAATACGGGTACACCAAGATCGACCGACTCCCCTCGTCACAGAATCCCACCAGTCCGATAAGATTGGCATGATGGAGTCTGCTCAACGTGTTCACTTCTGCCAGGAACATGCTTCTCTTCCCCTCCGTCAGATCCCCCGTCATCACCTTGATGGCCAAATCCTGATCGTCCATCGAGCCCCAGTACACATCTCCGAACGCTCCACTGTCCCCGATACGGTAGTTCTTACTGAAATTTTCTGTGCAATGCTGCAGAGCTGCCAGCGAGAATCGTCTGACTTGCAAGGGGTGAAGTCCCCCACCTCCTCCCCCGCTCTCGTGGCGCCCACACCCCTCCGTTGTGAAGTTGCTGCTCCGTCCAATCTCGACGGTTCTGCTCCCTGTTGTATTTGGCCCAGGTTTAGCCTGCCCCTGTTTCCCTCCATTCCGGCGCGCTCTGTACACAAGGACACTAAGGCACGTGGCAAGCGCCAGGAAGACTGAGATCGACACGGGCAGCCCGACCGCAAGACCTAAATTAGTTCCTCGGGAGCTGGGGGGAAGCGGCGAAGATCGTGAAGGCGACGGGCCAGAAGGGGGAGGAGGCGCGCAAGAGTGAAGCTGCGAATTGCTGATTCTCAGCTCGAACACGGACCCATCGTTTGCTCCGACGTACAGACTTAGTTCGCTGCCGGACTGCCGAAGCGCCAATCCCCACAACCCGCCGGCACTGTACCTGGCGACCGGCTGTACACTGGTCGCCGAGCTGCAGGGCGCGTCCAGCTTCAGCCACCGAAGTAAACCGCTCCCCWGCTCGGTAACGAAGACGTTACATCCGTCCGGTGTCGCTACTGCGTTCGCCGCGATATCGAACTGAGATTTGGGACCATCGCCATCGACGGACCCGCTCTGGCCCGAGCCGGCCACAAGAGTGGCCGTCGGGGAGGGAGAGCGAGGATAAATTGCCCAAACCCGGTTATAACCCCAATCGGCGAAATAAAGGCAGCTCTCGTCCGGCAGAAAGCTACTTGAGTCGAATCCAACGAATGAAATGTTGGGATCRCCGGTGGAGAAATTACAGACTTCGTTCAATTTCAGGCCGGCGTCCAGTCTCCCGGACTCTGCGACCGCCATCGACAAAATCCGAACGGGTCGGGCGATGTCCGAGATGAACAGTTCCGTCTTGTTCGGATTGAATGCCACGCTCCATACGATGTCCGCATTTATGGCCACGCTCGTTCGATTGCCAGCCGCCGTGGATAGCCAGACGACACTCGACTGAGTCCCACTACCCGGAGTTGCCACTGTGACCAGCTGGTCTCCTTCTCTGTTCACGTCGAGACCAAACACCAGCGCCATTGATATGTTGTCATTGACATTCTTCCTCCACACAAAGTCAGATGTTTCACTCAGCCCGTTCCCTGCGCCATAGCGCCACCAATAGCTGAGTACGGAGCTATTTTTGAAACCTTGGCGCGCCCGCGCAAGATCGGCTTTTCGGATCGAAAACCGCCGACTTAGAACTTCATCTTCTTTTGTACTTATACAGACCTCGTCAAGAATGAAGTACATCTGGGTATCATCGCTAGGATGAAACGTTAAGTCGCGAATGATAGATCTGCACGCCCACCCAGACGCCGTCGGCTGAAAGTCTGGAGAAGGGGTATGAACGACAATGGGAGGCACTACGCTCTGGTTGCCTGTGACGAAGAGCTGGGGCTGCAGAAGCGTCATGCTCCCTTCCGGCTCAAACACTGGTGGCGAGGAAGGCGGCGCGGTGGACACCATCGCCATACTGCGCMTGACCTGCTGGGCGAGGAGACGTGCTCGGCTGTCTCCCGGCTCTGCAGCATTGGCAGCCGAAGACCATTGGCCGAGGACCGGTCGCTCGACAGCGGCGCCATTTACCCGCTTAGAAATYGTGGCAAGCAGCAGAACACTAGCAAGGGATTGGAGTAGGAAACAGCGAGAGAGGGAGGCCATGCGAAAGCTTTGGCTGCCAGTCGAACGGGCACAATGAGCGTGCCATAGATAATCTAACACTGGCCATGGATGCTCAGCCATCCTCTTCGTCCGAGTCGCGCGCGCCCGCGCCCACACGGGCTCGGTAAAGTGGCTTGATTATCAGACCGGAAGAAACCGCTCGAAGAAAGACGCAACAACGCCAGARCAACGGGAYTGGACTCGAGYAYGCGAAAAGCAAGCGCAGAGAAAATAACACMACGATATCAGGGTCGCCGGGAATCTCCTTTCGCTTGGAACAAATGGGCCCCGCTGCACTACKCTAGACACAYGAAAAATTTAGGGCGTCGCCGCAGGGCACACAAAACGAAAAAAGAAACGAGTGAATCTTACAGCAGAAAATGGCCAGGTTCATCCATCTGCTATGAATAGTAACGAGTGTATGTTGCCACCTTCTGTGGGCAGATGCACTGGTTTCGTTTTCGTTTCGTACGCCGTGGGGCGAGGCCCTAAGTGTCGGACCCAACTGCTCGGCTTCCTGGAAATTTCCTGGAAAGAGGGGAAGTTGCTATTACAGGGCAAGTTGGGAGGTTGGATGATGCATGGAGTGATCTCAGTCATGTTCAAGAAGGGAGACAAGTAGAACATGAGAAATTACATACCAATCTCGATTTTGAACGTGAGCTACAAGCTGCTAGCCAAGACTCTGGCGGCCAAGACTCTGGCGGTGAGATTGGGGAAGATACCAGGGGGCTGTTCAGGGGCGGTCAATTTTCATCAATATCCGGACACCTATTAAGAGCATTGAAATTATCCAGGCGGAACAGGTGGACATGGCGGTCTTACTCCTAGATATGGAGAAGGCCTGTGATAGGGTGGGTTGGTCCTTCGTGTTAACCACGCTAAGGAGGATGGGGATCGGACCGGTTATGGCCATGTACACGCTGGCAACATCGGCAGTGCAGGTGAATGGACATTTATCCAGCCCCTTTCAGTTCTCGCGGTCTCTCTGCCAAGGTTGTCCTCTGGCTCCATTGCTGTTTGTGCTGCAATTGGAAGTGTCACTCAACAGATTCCGGAAGCACCCCTTCATAAGAGGGTTACCAGTGGCTTAGGACAGAGAGTGCAGGGCTAAGGCCCTGGCAGATGATCTGTTCCTAATCTCAGCTAACACAGCAGAGTCTATGGGGGCGGTGAAATCTTTTTTTTTTTTTTTTTTTTTTTTTTTTGGGGCCCTTGTGCAAGACCTCTATGCTGGTGGTGGTACGAGAACCACCAGGATTGAGGCTTTGCCTAGCGGGCCGCTCCATCTATTGGTGGGGAGCAACACCTGCTGRAAACYGGGTCCAGCGTCCCAAAAATACATCTTTGTCACACAGTACATCAATGAGAGTGACGCCACGGTCCTGGAAACCGGGTCCAGCATCCCATCTCCACTCTATTCTTCCATACCTGAACTGCAGCAGGGTCGGGTCGTGGGGGGGGCCACCGGGGGGCACCGGTGGAGTCCCCCTCCATCCCCTAGCCTCTGCCATCCACCCACTATCCTCATGGCGCTCATTGAAGCAATAGAAAACCAGGCTGCAGTGAAATAGGCTGAGATTAGCTGAAATCCTTTTGAGAGATACAGAGATATTGAAGCAATAGAAAACCAGGCTACAGTGAAAAAGGCTGAAATTAGCTGGAATCCYTTTGAGAGATACAGAGATACAGAAGAATACTGAAGAATACTGAGTATTCCTGAGAATTGTGTGGGAGGCCTCACCTGCTGGGAACTGGGCCCAGCGTCCCTTTTTTTCTGGTGGGCCGCTCCATCTATTAGTGGGGAGCGACACCTGCTGGAAACCGGGTCCAGCGTCCCGTAAGCACATCCTTATAAGCAGTACATTTTAAAAGTGGCGCCTTTGCGCTGGAAACTGGGTCCAGCCTCCCATCCAATCCACTATACCGTACCCCAGCCCCTGCCATCCACCTTCTGGCGCCTTTTTATTTTGACGCTATCAGAACATTGCTAGTGCTGGAAACCGGGTCCAGCGTCCCATATTTGAGCTGTTCATCCAACCAATCTGGCGCCTCTCTATATTTGGAACTATCAGAAGGCTGAGGCAGGCAGTATATTGTCAATGCTGGAACCCGGGTCCAGCGTCCCATATCAGTGCTGTTCATCCGACCAATCGCAGTGCATCCATCTGCCGCGGTCCCAGTCCTGCAGTGTATCCGTCTGCCGCTGTCCCTCTACCAACCATTGGACTGGGCTTGTATTGGGCGGTACAGAATAGACTCAGGTGCACAAGGAACAGAAGGAGGCAGAGGTCGGAAGAGAGCAGAAGGGGGCAGGAGTAGGGGACCACAGAAGAAGAGGGCAGGATAAAGTAGCCAGAAGGTAGACCGAAAAATCAGAACGAAGATCACTGGGCCAGGCCGGATCCACCGAACTGGGCTACTGTAAGCATGGGGGGAGGACCTCTTCCAGTGCCAGTGGGTGGGGGGGAAAAGGGGACTGCAAATTCTTGAGCCGGGTGTAACCTCTCGCCGGGGTCGAGGCTTGTCCACTCATGGAAGATCAGCTGATAGTCTCTTGCTATCTCCGTTCCGTGTCCTTCTTGCAGCTCTCCTCCCTGCTGGCAATTCTCAGACCAGCTTAMCTCCGCCACCCATCSTTTTCTTTCCCCTCCCAACCAATTCTGACTGAATCGGGAGATGATCCTGTTGATGTMAGCCCAGGAATTCATTTGGTCAAGTTTGTCTCTGGCCGCCTTCCACWGGGCAGCAATTTCATGTTGGACTAATAGGCGTAACTGTTCTGTGACTTCTCCTTCTTCAACCCGTGCCCTTTCCATTTCCAAAATGCAACGTTTCCACCAGATGACCCATAGGACCGCCCGCCTGCCCAATTGAAACATGTTCTCCTTGAATGTGTCTCCCCGAATCGGGCCCGAATCGGACCCGAATCGGGGGGTAATGACCTAGTAATATAGCCCTCCACTCCCATGGCCATTCTGCACCGGGGACAATGTGTCGCCGAATCCTGTCCCAAACTCTCCAGAGCAAAACCAAAGTCGGGCATTGGAGGAAGATGTGTTCAATTGTTTCGGCCTTTTTCCTCCCCGGGTAACCCAAGAGACAACTATGGCACCAGGGTAATGMCCGGCCTTGCTGCTCCAACCGGGTGTGATCTATCAACCAGTTGTTTGTTGGCAGACATCGGTRTGYTATTTGCCACTGAAGGGCCGAGATCTTAGCGGGTCTATTCCTAAGTTGGGTGAACCAACGGATCGGCTTGAGCAAGTCTCGGTCCATGTTGAGATGTCGGTGCCACCTGTCCTCAACCGTCTCCCGCAGTCTTCATTTGGGACGGAGCATACGATAGGCTGATTTGGTTTTTAGATTGTAAAGTGTTAGCTGTTTTGTTGGCCCTTGTCTAGTCGTGGCTCCCGGGGACCAATGCCACTCGTCGGGGTCGAAGGGGAGATCCTCAATCGGGGTTGTTGGGTGGTAAGCACATTGTCCTCTGCCATTGTCCAGAACTCTGATGCGATATATGTTCATTCTGTCCTTCCAGATAAAGGGGTCTGCCCCGTAGAGTGTCATCCTTTTGGACAGAGAAAATCTCAATTAGGGCATGTGTTGGGTCTACAATGTGTACTTGTTCTATCTCCTCCTGGTGATCAGGAAGGCAAACCCAGTCTCCTTCTCTCAATTGAGTCCCTTTCCGAAGGATGCTATACCATTGGAGAGGGAAACTTTCGATGAAATCGTTTAGTGCCGATTCCGTGAGATGGCAGTAGCGTAGCCATGCCCTCATCCTTTCTGTACTCTTCCAACATCTTGCCTCTTTATCCCACAGATCCCCTACCCTGCTAGCACCATGTTTAACCCAACCTCTCCAGGGGGCATCTGAGCTGCATCTTACCTGGCCCAAGGCATCCGTAGTCAATCGATTCCCAAACAGCGATTGTCTGAAGATTTCTTCCCATCGGTCCGGATTGGGCCGGTCGGGCGGCGGGAGCTTCCTCCATGTGCGAAGTAAGCGCAACCAATGTGTGCTCGCGGGGTTCCCATTCTTATCTTTCCTTGGAAGCCTCCAGTATCTGTCTTGTAGCCATACCAGGGGGTCAGTCTCCGGGGGGGCCTCCGGTGCTAGGGCAGCAATTTGCACCAGAGCCAGGGGGGGCCAGGGGGAGGACGGAGAGAAGATAATGTGCTGAAGCCAGCGAAGCGTAAGGGTCTGGGATTGAGTGGCTGGGTCCTCAATTCCTAGTCCTCCTCTCGTCTTGGGCTGAATCACCGAGTCCCAAGCTACTCGACTAATTGCGTGGGGGGTATTACTGTCCCCTCTCCAAAGAAAAGCTGCTAGTTGCTGTCTTAGTGACCTAAGCCCCCCGTTGCTCATAGACCATATAATCCATTTGTACCAGAGTGTAGTCAAAATCACATTATTGATGACCAGGGCCCGCCCCAATAGCGATGCGTGCTTTTTATTCCATTGTTTTAGTTTGGCGTCCGCTGGTCCTGTCAGCCAGTCATCGTTGGTCGCCGACTTCCTTTTTGTTGTGATGAGGGCTCCAAAGACTCTCAAAGGGTCTTCTCGGGGGAGCCATGTAATTCGCGGGTATTCAGGAGGCCTTCCTCCTTGCTGGTGCATCCACCATCCTACCGTCTTYTGCCCCCAATTTAYYGCCATATCGGAGAGCCGACATAACCGGTTCATGAGGATTTGGATTTCTTCCATGTTACGATCTGTCGCTTCCAGCATTATGGTAAGGTCATCAACAAACAGTGAGTAGATCGGTACTGCCTCCTCCGGGATGTTCGTGATCTTAATGCGAGAGAGGTTCTTATTATGCCTGAGGTTGGCGGAGAGTGCTTCCATTATCACCAAGAAAAGATAGGGTGCAATGGGATCCCCTTGTCTTACAGACCTCTGAAGCTCGAAGGGGGGCGCTATCGACCCATTGACCTGAACACAGGTGGTGGCGTTATGATGAAGGATCATAATCCAACGTCGAAAGACTGGTCCAAAGTTTATTTTTTCCAAGCATTTGTCCAAAAACTCCCAGTCAACGTGATCGTATGCTTTTTCAAATTCAATGAATATTATGGTCGCGTTGGTTTTATTCCGTTGGGCTAGTTCGACCACCTCATTAACTAGTAAGATGTTTTCTTGTATATTCCTTCCGGTCATGAACCCTGTCTGATCCG